GCCGGCATTTTGGCCTTAGACCTGTTCCTACTGGAAGGAAACTCACCTCGTAATCTGGTTGTTGAATGAACTGCTCGGGAAACTGTCTGTTGCTGCTCCGGTATCTCCCTGGCTACAATTTCCATAAGTACACTCAATCAATCACTGATAACTACACTGAGGGTAAAATAACTATTTTACCCCTGGTCAAAGTCAACCTATTGGTCAAAGTCAACATACATTTGACCTAACTCATCGAGTTGGGTCACCAACTCATCAAGTCCTTACTCTCACTTTCTTGCGTCTGCTCGCCACTACTCGTCAAGTTTGGCATAAACTCGATGAGTTCCTCTTCGATACTAACACTCAGTCAATCTGCATCCGACTCGCCGTGTTGTATGAACAACTCGTCGATTCCTCCTTCAACACATGAACACTCTGGCTGTGACTCGCCGAGTTGTATGAACAACTCGTCGAGTCTGTTCTTGAGGTATGAAGATTGCCTTGGACTCGCCTAGTCGGGGCATTGACTCGTCGAGTCCCTTCATGAATGATTCCGATCTCCGACTAACTGAGTCCACCCATAACTCACTGATTCCACTCGGCATGACACATAAAAGGGGAAGGAATCGGGGACTCATGACCTGACTCGCCGAGTCGATTGCATCCAACACTACTCCGATGATTCTACTCAAATCTAATGCATACAACTCATATCTCTGGGTTCATAAAGCTTAGTTACCACGTAAAGTTTCCAACTTTACGTGTACATATGCATGAAAATGGATTTAAAGTCTAAAAAGACACTTAAAGGAATAGATTTAGGGCTTTCAAGAAAAAAGGCTCCATAAAGGTGTTAGATCCATGACTTTGGGACTGAAACATGGCTATACCTAAAGTCCAATCACCCCAATGTGATTTCTCTACCATAAATAAGCTAAGGAATGGATAAAATGGGCTAAATGTGATTCAACAAAGGAGAATCAATCATAGCAACAGAGGGAATCCAGTTTTTACCTCAATAACTCTGCAATAGATGCAAGATCTTGGACCTTCTTCTACTCCCTTGGATCTAGCTACCTTCTTCTCTTCCAAAACTTCAAGATTCACATAATAAATGCTCAAAATGCTCAAGGAAAGGTTAGGGTTTTCTAAATGATGCTCTGAGGGTGAAAGGGACGAGGTTGGGGATCATAACATGGCTTAAATAGGGTGCAAAACCCGGGGATTTAGGGTTCCATTCAGATAGATGGACTCACCGAGTCTAGGATATGGACTCGTCGAGTCGCCAACTTAAACGTGCTCGAAATCCCGTCTCTACTCAACGAGTTGGGCTACTGACTCATCGAGTTCCTCTAGAAACTTGAATAAATAATAATATTAAATAACATACCAGAATCGGAGCATTACACAACAACATTAAAAGTTAAAAATACTTATGCTTCATGAAATTATTAATGTATGTTTTGAAAATAAGTAGACAATTACTTGTACAAATTTGTTATGAATTTTTTTTGAATAAACAATAAATTATAATTAGTTATGTTTCTTGAAATCCTTGTCAATTTGGTTTAGTTTTAAACGTTTGCTCCTCTTTAATCATCATATCTTGAGGTTCTACATTTGCATTCTGATAGAAGTGGATGACGTAATCAAAGATATTGATAATGAAGCAAAGGACCAGGGTGTATTAACGGTGTATTTTTTACAACAATTTTTCTGAAATGGAATCTCAAATTCTAGTTTTGTCATAATGGAATCTTGAATTCTAAGTAAGCTTAAGCAGTGAATTACCAAATACAATCGTTACAACACATAATAGTATGTCTTAACTCCACTCAACTATGATTTTAGCTATTTAATAACTTTTTTTCAATAGTTTCAAAGGAATGAAATCTTTTACTTTCACTTATCTATGATTATGTTAGAATGGAATATGTTTTCAGGTATAATGCTTTTTTTGGTGTAGTGACAGAAGCATTGTATATATTAGATGATGAAGATAAATTTATTCTCATAGAGTGTATAGAATGTAATTCTTGCTTGATGTTAGATAATGAAGATAAATCTATTGAATATTGAATTTCAATTATTACAGAATGGAATCTCGAATTCTGATTCTGTCGGAATGGAATCTCAATATTTCCCCTGTGATTTGTGCATTTTCTATTATTATTGGTTATAAGTTTTGGTGCAATTCACAAGTATGTTGATTTGTACCAAGGACTTTATTTTTTTCTTTTTCATTTGGTAATGACTCATTCTTTTAGAATTGTTTGAAGAAGGAATCAATGATTGATCATACAAGAGAAAGACTTGGAATTGAGTTCAATAACAAGTTACATTGAAGAAGATTAAGTGTAAACAAGTGGATTACTTGGACCATTGATGAAGATTAAGTGTATTTGTTCAATAATTGTATATTTGACAATGTTATTCTTAAGAATTTTATTCATTTGATGACATTCTGATAGAATATCTTTAATTATATTAAAATGTAGAATATTATGAATTTGTATTTATTTTCGGATGTGTAGGAATATATTAGAATGTTGTTATTATTTAATTTCAGGTTCAAGAATTTTATTATTCTTCATTAATATTTTAATAGAATAATATTCTAACAACACAATATCATAGAACATCATTCTAACAGAATTACATTTTGATAGGATTATAATTGAATTAATTAAAAAAAATCAGAATTCAAAATTAAGATAATAAAAAATCTCATGAAATTCAAAAATTACATTTTTAAATTATGGTTTCCTAATTTAAAAGTAATGAAAATGTACATTTTTATCATTCTTTTAATTAAATGGTATAATTCTATTTTTTTTAATTCAATAATATGGATAAATGTCTTTCTTAAAATAACTAAAATGATGTTTCACAATCATTCCTACATGTACACAATAATTAGTTAGAAGACAATAACCTAAGCATATATATATATATATATATATATATATATATATATATATATATATATATATATATATATATCACTGACTAGCCTATTTTTGAGCTAAAACAATAAAAATTTTCAACATCTAAGTTTACAGTGTAATATATTAATGGAAAAAATTTGTTACAAAGAATACAATTAAAACAAATCAGCTCAACAAGAGTTCACATGAAAGATTTATAAAGGCTGGAAGTTTGCAAAAAAAAAAGGGAAAATGACATTAAAGACCTTAAGTTTGTATAAAAATATCGGTTTTACCATTGGACTTGTTTTAGGTCCAGTAAAGCCTAAAGTTTTGTTTAATTTGTTCATTTTTACCCTTATAGCCGGTTTCCAGGTAATCTACCGGTTACCTAATGCCAGTAATGCCCTTGAATTTTAAAAAATGTTCGAATTTACCCTTAAGTGTTTCAAAAATGTTCGAATGTACCCTTACATTGATTTTTATTTTCATTATTATTATTAATATTATTATTATTATTATTATTATTATTATTATTATTATTATTATTATTATTATTAATTTTTAATACATTTTTAAACGTATGAAAATATTTTATACATACATTTTTAAACGTATAAAAATATTTTTATTAATATAAATATATTTTTAAAAATATATATACTTGTATTTAGTATTTATATACATTTGAAACCCCATGTATTCCTATAGTAATGTATTTATATGTTAAAAATGTATTTATTTGTATTTAGTAGGTATAAATATATATTTATTCCATATAAAAAAATATTATATACATACAAATATAAAAATGCATATTTATGTATAAAAATATTTTTACTAATATAAATATATTTTTAAAACATATATATACTTGTATTTAGTATTCATATACATTTGAAACCCCATGTATTCCTTTAGTAACGTATTTATATGTTAAAAATGTATTTATTGAATTTAGTAGGTATAAATACATATATATTTATTTCATATAAAAATATATTATAATAAATATAAAAATGCATATTTATAAGGTTTATATTATATAAAAGATATAATTAGATGTATTTGTACATACTACCAAGTATAAATATATATTTATTTCATAATTATATACATACTATAGTTTTTATATAGAGGAAATACATATTTATATCTATTAAATACAAATAAAAATATTTTTAAATGTATAAATATGAATTTAAATGTAGAAATACACTTTTTATTTGTATTTAATACATATAAATATGTTTGGAAATATATAAATACGTTTTCATTTGTATTTAATAGATATAAATATGTGTTTCATTTGTATAAAAACTATCTTATGCAAATAGTTATGGAATAAATACATATTTATAGTTAGTAATATGTACAAATACATATAAATATATCTTTTATACAATATAATCCATATAAATATGTATTTTATATTTATATGTATATAATATATTTTTATATTAAATAAATATATATTTATACCTACTATATACAAATAAATATTTTTTAATATATAAATACGTTTTTAATGTAATAGATGAGAATTCAAATGTATATAAATACTAAATACAAGTATTTATATTTTTAAAAATATATTTATATTAATAAAAATATTTGTATACATTTAAAAATGTATGTATAAAATATTTTTATACATTAAAATGTATTAAAAATACGTAGTAATAATAATAATAATAATAATAATAATAATAATAATAATAATAATAATAATAATAATAATAATAATAATCAAAATAAAAATCAAGGTAAGTGTAAATACGAACATTTTTGAAAAACTTAAGGGTAAATTCGAATATTTTTTAAAATTCAAGGGCTTTACTGGTATTAGGTAACCGGTAGGTTACCTGGAAACTGGCTACAAGTGTAAAAATGAACAAATTAAACAAAACTTCGGGTTTTACTGGACCTAAAACGCGTCCAAAAGTAAAACCAATATTTTTGTGAAAACTTACGGGCTTTTATATCATTTTCCCAAAATTGTAGCTATTTTTGATATTTTTGGCTATTTTATGGTTATAGCTTTTAAAAAATAACTATTAATTATGTGAAAGAAATGTCGTCTACATATATCTATAATTACTATTTGTATTCTTTCATTTAGCGAACTTGCAAGTTGGCATGCAGTTGCCATGGAACTTCCTTCCTTCAATTACTTTAAATTCAAAACTTCCAAACTTATGTCATATTATAAATACCCTTACACGATATAAATCACCTCATCAACTTCGCACCATAAAACTCATTATTAGTTCTCTATCTGTTTTATCATGTCGACAGAACCTCAATCACCTTTGCAACCACCAAGATATCGAAACCTAATCACCATTCTTAGTATCGATGGAGGTGGAGTACGAGGCATCATTCCAAGTGTCATCCTTGAATTTTTGGAAACTGAGCTACAGGTATATATCGTTTATAATTAAGTTTAGTTACTTGAATTATTCCTTTTATCTTTGAAAGACCATAGAAAAAGTATGAGGAGGTTGTATAATTATGACAGAAATTAGACGGTAAGAATGCACGACTGGCAGATTATTTTGATGTGATAGCCGGGACAAGCACTGGTGGTCTGGTGACGGCTATGTTAGCTACTCCCGGTGTAGATAATCGACCAATTTTTGCAGCTAAGGATATTAAAGATTTTTATCTTCATCATTGTCCTAAAATCTTTCCACCACGTGATAGGTATGTATTATTAACAACAAAACAAAATTAATTAATTAATGTGTGACACTTCTTTTGTAGCGATAATGGGTCCCTAAATCTCTCAATGATTTTTATCTTAAACATTCAAATGCTTGGTTGTTGAACTTCTCCATTTTTTTTTTATCGAAACAATTGGGTGAACGGTTTTGTACATCGCTAATTCTCCTCTTTTTGTGTGAAGAATGAATCTTTTTTTTTTTTGGTTAGTTATGTCTTAATTCTTCATTTTTAATTTACATTGTGTAGCAGACACCGTCGGTTCAGTGCTTTAAAAAAAGCGACCAACGCTCTATGTGGACCAAAATATGATGGTGAACACCTACATAAAGTTATTCGAGAAACACTAAAAGAAAAACAAATTCACGAAACGTTAACAAATGTCGTGATTCCAACGTTTGACATAAAATGTTTGCAGCCTATGATCTTCTCAAGCTTCCAGGTATTTCATCGATTTATACATTTGTTGCTTCTTAAACCATCAAGTTATCAATTTTCAAACCTGAAAATGCTTACAATGAAATTAAGACGATGATTTATTTTTAACATCTTCAAAAGAGGTTAAAAGCAAGAAAAAATAAACGCACTTTCATTGGTTTATTTATTATAGCATCTTACTTTTGATTTTCAAATTACAACATTATATGTTAATAAATCTATCAGTTATAGCAACTTTATCTAAATACACAACAATTTTCATAGGCACTGTAATTGGTTAGTTTTTTAAAAGTATAATATTTTAATAAGAAAACGTTGAAAGTATACTACTATAGTTGAATAGATTTTTAAAGTATGATAGAAAGTGCAATTCTTTAATAGATCAATATGAGAGCAGAATGCTATAATACAAAATGAAACTCTTTTGCATTAAATTAGCCTTTTTACGATAACCATATAACTAATATTAATATTCACATCTATAATATACAGAGGCCCAATGCCAAGTTATCCCCCAAGTTATCCGATATATGCATTGGAACATCAGCTGCCCCAACTTATCTTCCTTCATATAAATTCCATACAAAAGAATATGAAGGAAAAACTAAAGAATTCAATCTTATCGATGGTGGAATAGCAGCCAACAATCCGGTATATATGTCTTATTCACTAATAATTACTCATCTATAATCTATATATGTGGTTTAAGTTAAATATGTTATTATTTATTTATTATTGTGCAGACTTTGGTTGCCATAAGCGAAGTAACAAATGAAATAAATAGAGGCAATTCAAACTTTGACCCAATAAATGCAACAGAATATGGAAGATTTCTAGTATTGTCATTGGGCACTGGGTCACCAGATGTTCAAGAAAAGTATGATGCTACTAAGTCATCAAGATGGGGGGTTTTGGGGTGGCTGAAGAGTGGTGACTCAATCCCATTGGTGGAGGTATTTACTCAGGCGAGTGACGATATGGTTGACTATCATATCTATAGTGTCTTTCAAGCCCTTCATTCACAAGATAAATATCTTCGTATTCAGGTAACTATATTTCCTTTCCGTTGTATTTTAAAAAGATTCAAGATTTCATATTATGACAGAGTGAATTAAAATGATATCAGGATGACAGTTTAAGCGGGGATTTAATTTCTTTGGATTTGGCAACACAAGAAAACTTACAAAATCTTGTGAAAGTGGGACAAAAATTGTTGAAAACCCCAGTGAAGAGAGTGAACTTGGACACGGGCAAACATGAGCCTGACCCTTCTTACGATATCACCAACGAGACGGCATTAATAAAGTATATTCATGTCTCCCATATAACTATATTTAATTATCATATATCTACTCTAATAAATGAAAATATTTTTACCATATGGTACACTCTCATTGATTTTACCACTTGTCATTTTGAGGTTATTTTCAATTAAATTATATCCACATGGTATTTTGTGGTTATTTTCATTTTTATTAATTTTCATATAATAATTGATTAAATGTATTAATTGCAATAAATGTATTAATAAATGCATATCAATTTTATTAATTGGCTTTTCTTCTAATTCCAAATTTTCAAAATTAAAACCTTATTATTTTCCTTTGTTTATTTATCTAAATTATATGTTTAAATGTAAAGGAGAAAAACACTTTAATTTTAATAATTCAATATATATATATATATATATATATATATATATATATATATATATATATATATTTTAATTTATAAATTTAAACTTCTTAAATATTTAGAATTTCATATTTTTTTTTAAATGAACTTATGTAATACATGGTTTTTACATCTAGTTTTAGAACATATATACGAAGCATTTTTATGTATATTTATTCATTTGAATATTTCACATATGTATACAGTCTTGCGAAAACACTCCACCAGGAGAAGAAGAAACGTGAACAAAGATCACCTATCTACTAATAGAGGAAGAATTACACAAGACGAGTCGGTGAAAGAACAAATTGCAATTTCACAAAAAACACCAACGCTCTCAAAGGCAATTGATCACTCTAGTTAAAATTTATATGAGCCCAACCCAAACTAAGATTTTCTTTCTTGTTTATGGATTTACATGGTTTATTCTAAATGAAGTTCGTAGTTATGTTGTTTAGTTGAAAATTTAATTAATCGATGTAATACTTTCAGTTTTCTACTAATTCAAGCATATAAATAATAAATTAAAACCACTTGGTGTATTTCCTAAATAGAAAATGTACAATAAACGAGGGGTATGATCAAACCAATTAAATTGATGATTGTTGGTTAATTGATTTTGATCCATAGGTTTAATATGAAATTCTCTATCTTTTTAGGAAAGTTTATTTTTATGTGTTTCATTTGTGTTTGAGTATGACTTTTTTTAGATTAGTATAGGGGAAAATGATTAGTAGGACCTATAATGTTTCTAGGGTTGACATATTTAGCCACTTAACTTATTTTGTGACTTAATAAAGGAACGAATTACTCTTTGTCGGGTCGATTAAGTCCTTATTTCAATTTTGAAGGGGTTAGCCGGTCATTTTAAGTCCACATCCTTCTACTAACACCACATTGGATGCTGAATGTGAATTTCGTCTAATGCCATGTCATTAATTAATCGACTCCTTCGTAATGTCGGTATATGCTTTATAAAAGAGCCCTTTTACATCCACTGTTCAACACTTCATCGGTAAACCCTTTTTTGTGAGCTGCTTCTGAATCCTCAAGCATGAAACCCGTATTCTTACAAGTAGATGTCCACTTCCAAGGAATGTTCACCAAAAACCCCATACGCTACACCGGTGGAATTACTCATAGGTTTTCGGACATCGATTTCGCAGGAATGGACAAGGATGGGTGTGTTGCGTTCATCGAAAGGTTCACTGGGGAAAAGTGTGAGAAGCTCTATTACTAGCAACCTGATATTGATTTTCCAAAAGGTTTGACTCTCATTTGCAATGACCCCAATTATTACGACTTCATTGAAATTGCATATGAATGTGGTGTTATACTACCTATGTATGTAGACCATTTTGGGGATAGTAACATACAGGAATGGTTGAATGAACACAAAGATGAGTTTGTTGGTAACGTTGAGGAAGAAGTACTTGATGGTGCAGGACTCGTTAAGGAAGTTGCACCAGGGTATCGGGATGTGGGTGACACAAACGATGAGGTAGAAAATGGCGACGATGATGACGACGAGGATGAGGATGTCGATGGAGATGAGGATGACCATCAGAAGCCTCATTTTTTTATAAAGGGTAATGAGATTCAGGTAGAGATGGGTGAGAAAGCAGGTACAAGTGAGTTTTTCAAAGAAGACATGGGTGACAATGAAGATGTTTATCCCGAATTGCCAAACATTTTCAATGATAAGCTCAATTGGAAGGAGCAGAAACCTATTTTAGGTATGAGGTTTGAGAGTCCTAAGCAATTGAAACACATGCTTTGTAACTATGCTGTCGCGAATGGTTATTAATTATGTTTTGTTAAGAATGATACTAGACGATTACTTGTCAAATGATGTGATGACAAATGTACTTTTAGGCTTTGGGGGTTTGTGGATGAGTGAAGATAAGTCTTTCCAGATAAAATCTCTTATTAGTGAGCATAATTGTGCAAAGAATTTCAAATTCAGATCAATTGTGACTTACAAATGGATAGGGACCCACTTTAAGCACCAATTTTATAACAATCAAAAGATGAGCGTCCGAATGCTTAGAGAGGAGGTAAAACAGATTTTGGGATTAACGTGAGTATGAGTAAGTGTAGGAGATCCAAGAAGTATGTATTGAGTCTAGTTGAAGGGACAATAACTGAGAATTATGCAAAATTATGGTCATATAGTGAGGAGATTAGAAGATCAAATCCTGGATCCACAGTTAAAATTTGTGTTGATTCAATGCCTGATGGTAAGAATTATTTCAGCAAAATATACATATGTTTTGCTTCAGTAAAAGAGGGATGAAGGGGAGGATGTAGGAGGAACAATTAACCTGGATGGTTGTTTTCTGAAAACTTTTTGTCAAGCGGAGTTGCTTTGTGCTATGGGTAGAGATACTAACAATGGAATATTCCCAATTGTTTGGGCAGTTGTTTCTGTGGAAAACAAAGAGAATTGGAAATGGTTCTTAGAAACTCTTTCAGAAGATTTGCAATGTTGGAATGATGGTAACGGTTTGGTTCTAATTTCGGATCAACACAAGGTATGGTTCAAAATTATTGCATGTTCTAAATTTAGTTATTGTTATTCGAATTTCAAACATTAATGTGACTTATGTAGGGTTTGAATCGTAACGCCTGTGTTTCTGGGTCTGTCATTAATGTTTCTATAATAGTCTAGGTTAACCTTTGTAACCCTTTTTGAAATAATAGAAGTGTATTATTTGAGTATTATGTGTTTTGTGCTTAATTGCTTAATTATGTGGTTTGATTAATTAAGAATAAAAATAAGCGTCAAAATTTAAGTGTAAAATAAACTTCATATCATTGGATAATGTTGTAGTAGTTGAAACAATGTTTCCGAAGATATAAAGAATGCCGAAATCCGAGTTATAACGAAGAAGTTATGACCTGTCGAAGTTTCGCCACAGAACCGGCAACACTGAATGACGTAAAAAGTGAAATTTACGTTAGAGCGATATTTAGCCTTAGTGATCTAAACGAGAATCGAAGATTTTGTTGTTAGTATCGAAGCGATAAAAAGTTAGGCGAGAACGGACGTCAAACGAAGAAGTTATGAATTAATAACGAAACTTTCTGTCCCGGCCTATTAAAAAAAATAATAAAAATAAATTCAAAATTAGCCGATGGAGTCTAAATGAAAGTTGTAGATCGTAGTCTCACCTTCGCGTGGATATAAAGAACGTCGAAAACGGAGTTCGTATGAAGAAGATATGAATTTCCGAAGTTTATTAAATAATTTGTATTTAAATTTAATCTTTAATTCCGGTATTATCCGAGGACGAGTCATCAGACTCATCCGAAGTACGCCGCGCGTACACCGAGGAATATCGACACTCGCACTCGAGTTCTTCGGATGACGCGTGCGCTTACGAACCAAGGCGTACGCCCCGCGTACGGCGAGGTCTCAGCCTCCTATAAATAGGATGCGAGGCTACCGAGTTCTTTTGTTATTTTTCTCTCTTTTCTCTAGTCTTTTGCTTTGTTTTGCATGCCGTTTGTACCCCGAAGCCCCGGTAATATTCCCGAGCCCCGAAGTAAGATTCGAAGCCCCGAGGATCCTGAAGAGCGTTATTTCCGAGCCGAAGCTCTGTCCGCGAGAAGTTCGATTTTTGTAGAGATCTTCCAGATCTGCTGAAGAATACTACTTCTACAAGCCGTAGTGTTGTCCGATCATCTTCTGATCAAGTGAGTGTGTAGTTACTTTCTTCTAACGCATAATTATAAAGTATTTTATACGAAATACGTGTTATGTGTATATTTTGTTGTTATGTGTGTGAATGTATATTTACTTTCTTCTATCTCATGGATCTGATTTATTTTCTATGAAATACGTGTTATGTGGATTTGCCTCATCTGTTATGTGGAATATATATTGAATGAAAATGCTATACAGGTTTTAAACTATGTATAAAAATATATATTTTTCTCTACTAATATGTTGGGTAGAACATGGGTAGATAGTTGGTGTGTAATAAACAGATGAGAGGCCTCGATGTTGTTGTTGTTGACCTAGTTATTCAGCGGAGTATGGATAACGACCACACACTCCTTCTAGACAGTCTCGTGGAACGCTAGCAGGTTCATAACCTGTAGGTGTTGTGAACGATGTGTTCACCGGTGTACTCTATCCCCCTCATGGTTGCCTTTAGGATATCTATTGTTGAGGAAACCCCTTCGCAGTAATGTCCGTCCCGATAAAAATCCTAGATTAGGTCCCTTGAGATAGATGTTGTTTTAGGGACATAAAGTGAGGATAATGGGAATGGGTAATCGGGATAGTGATTGGTTAGTGAAATTAAATATAATTTATTTATTGTGGGTTGAAAACCCTATATGCTCACCAGGCTCTCAAGCCTGACCCACTCAGTTTTATTTGTATTACAGGAAGTGGCGCAAGGGCGTAAGATGGATGAACCATCGAGTTGTTTTGTTTACAAGTCTGTATATGTATATATTTGTTGAATGACTTGTAATGTTTATCATTTATGCTTTATGGTCTGTATTGGAACATGACATCCCGAGTTTTGATTATATATAATGAAAATGCATCTCTTGATGAAATGTTTTGATAAATATTAGTTTATCATGTTTTGTTTTGGGAACAAATTCCGCGACACTTTTAAATCAAAAGGATTTACTCTGAAATTATTTTAAAAAGCATAAATGAAATCGGTCTTTTTTGGCCGTGATTTTGGGGATGTCACAGTTGGTATCAGAGCATTTAAGCGAACTAGGAATTTGCAGGATTTCTAGACTTCAACTTAGAATGCTAAGTGGAATTTTGAGATGTGTGTCTGTTGGATTTTAGACACGAGCACTAGTTTATTTTTAGGAAAGTTGCCTAAAATGCTTTTATGTGCTAAATGTTATATGTTGCCATATATGATATGATTTGTTCAGATCTACGGTTTGTTGCCAACCGGATCTGAAGGTTTATGTGTTTAGGATTCTAAGCGTATGTATACGATATTAGAACTAGCATGTAATCGTTTCGGAGTGATTAGGATGATTTGAAATCTATCGTGAGTGAAGATCTAAATTTCACCTTATTCGGTGTGTAGATCAAAAAAATGGTGAGAACAAGGAGTGGCGTTGGAAACGCAGATGAAAACAGGAATCAACCGCCAGTAATTGAGCAAGCACCTGTTGTAGCAGCAGCACCAGAACCAATAACAATGGCTGGGGTGCAAGCCATGATTCGGGCTATGTTAGCCGAACAAAGGGAGGAGATGCGACAAATGTTTCATAATAATAGGGACGAACCTATCATACCTATTGAGGAACCCAAATTGATTCCCGAGCAATCGGAGGAAGGGAACAATAGTCACATTATGAGTCAAGTTGGGACTCAAGGAGAACGAAGGAACGATCCGGAAAGGAGAAACAACAAGGATGGACGAATGTACAAGAACTTCTTGGGCGCCAAACCTCCAAGTCTTTCTGGGAGCCCAAAACCTGTTGAGATAATGGATTGGATCTCCGAAATGGAGATGGTATTTGCATGTTGCGACTGTAGCAACAAACAGAAGACTGTCTTTGCAGTTAGACAACTGAATACTGGAGTATTGAGTTGGTGGAAGTTGTTGGCAGATACTATGCCACGAGGGAAAGCCCTGAAAATGTCATGGGAGGAGTTCTTGGAACAACTAAGGGTGCAGTATTGTTCAGAGATAGATCTGATTGATCT